TACATCTTGTTCACTGACGTCCTTGACTTTGAGCGACAATCAGCATGAGAACGATGAGGAGATCGGAAGCTGCTCGATGACGATCCGCGTTGGAATTGTTCACGGCGTGAATCGTTGGCCTCTTCTTGCCGATCCTCGTGGTCGGCACTGGAGTCGCGACCGACGGATATCCCGCGTGCCCGTTGATCGTGTTGTCCACCGATAGAGGTCTGTTGTCCATTTTTTCCATCTCTGCCGAACCGTACACCGTTTCATCTTCCTCGTCGTAGAACGATGGCCGAGCCGCTGTCTGAGTTTTCGTGGGGCCTGAAATTTCTTAAATAAACGCCAGAACAGGCGTTTCGTTTCAACTGTTTCGTCTCTCAGTCTCTCTGAAACGATTACGTACTCAGGGAGGGAAGAAGATGGGAGGGGGGAGGGGCGAGATGGCGTCGTTACTTTCCATCTTGAATTTCATCAAGCGAAATGATGAATTGAAATTCTCAGGAAAATTCGCGAGAAAACTCGGCTTATTCGATTTCTTTCTCGTTGCAAGGTTGTAGCTGGCGCAGTGGTTGTAGAATTGCGCTTCTAGCGGCAACAACGACATAACAAAGTCACAAACAAAGTAAACCCATGACCGTGAATGAACAAAGTATTTCTCTATACAGTGTGATTAATTACAGAGAAACTGCAAATTGGACGAGAGAATTCAGACCTTGGCTGAGTGAAAGGCTCGAAAGCCAAGTTTTCGGCCAATTAAGGTTCCAAACGACGAGTTTACTTTCTAATTTTCCCGTCCGTCTTGCCGATCGCTGCTTTTGTGCTTGAAGAATTAAAAGTTAAATAATATTACACCTTTCACTCGCAAGACGAGACGAATCAATTTACATGGGGAAGCTTTAACAAAATTATCTCCTTATTTACGCGACGAGTGTATCGAGTAGCCTCTCCGACGATCGACATTTTCTGCTTGAACGATAACAATAATAATTATAATAACGATAATGAAAAGAAGAAAAAGAAGAAGAAGAAGAGAAAGAATGATGGATGATGCTCTGGCGAGGAACGAGAATGTACGTTGCAGGCTGTGCAACAGACGCTGTGTGCTACGGAAAGTAGTAAGTAAATCTCTGTGTCAGGGAAGAACATTGATTCCTAAGACGTGAGAGGCTCTCGTGACGATTTACGAAGGACACGGAGCAGCGACAAGCGTGCGAAACCCTTGAACCCCGGAGTGCATCGGCTGTGCATTCGTGTTTCCCTCGAGTCTGGCTCTGACCCGATTGGAAGATCCCCAGGATCGTATGCGAAAAGATGAGGATCGACCGAAAGAAGGTGAACGCTGCCAGAGGGGAAATCCTCCGGAGGATTCCGTGGCAAAGTGAGGATGCTTGTTCGAACGCGAGCGTGTTCCAGACGAGCGAAACACCTTTTTATTTCCGTCGCGCCGCGATCGCTTTTTTCCTTCGCACTCGCAAGATACAGCGTCTCCCGCCCGGCCAGCAACAATTTCCACTCGGATGTCGCGCAAAAAACACTCGTTAACACCTGTCCGTCGGTTCGTATATTCGTATATACATGAATTCTAACATTCAACGACGCATTCCAACATTCCAGATATTTACCAAAC